TTCAATGCACATGAGCTTATCACTGTATCAACATAGTTGGAGCATACTGCACAAGATTAACAACATATTGTGATATTGTCTTAATTAATGGACACTTGTTATTTGCAATTCACAGTAACATAGATTATGAAAACAATTTATTATTGTTCTTTTAACTTTTGTTTACTTTGAGGTTTGACATTACCGCATTAAATTTAGGGCCATTTGATTGGTTTTTTTATTAAGTTATATATAGATAAAGTTGTCTGTATGAATTAATCTGTTTGTATAAGTTGGAAAAGTTTTTGCTTTGGGAGAGTTTTTTCGCATATGTAAGGAGCGTTCTTTTAGTTGAAAGGGATATGTTTGGAAAAAAAAACTTGGCTTTCTATATAAAGCTCCCCATAGAAGCTTACTGGATAAGTTCTATTAATATTATTAAGCCACTACGAAATAGTCATGCATAGTTGAGGTAATAAGTTGTTAGTTCTATTAAGCTTATCAAGCTGCTAACAGATGGATCCTTAGCCTTTAGTTGTTAGACCTGTAACTTCTGAGTTTTACTTTTTGCTTACTATGACATTAATTTGGATGTAATTTACTATTTTAGTTAAAAACTAATTATAGTTTTCCTTATTTTTAAAGTTCCATATATTGAAATAAAGTTTCTATTTTACTAATTTCAATTTGAAAAAGAGAAAGCTGGAAAAGAAGAAAGCACGATCTTAATTCAGAATTTATCATTTTATCATTCTATATTTTATATCCAAAGTTTTGGTTTTTATGTCCCCCCTTGTATTTTTTTAGTATAATTAATAAAAATCAACATGGGAATGAGACACTTAGCTTGAATATGTTCTGAACTCTTTAAAAAATTTGCATGTTTCGTTTTTAATTGGCTTAAAAAAATAGGCTTAGAGGCATTTTTGATTATTTTCGTATTGGGCATCAAAAATCTTAGGATCGGTCTTGTATATGGGACTCATTTTGAGAATTATATTTAACAAGAAAGAAGTTAAGAAGGGAGAGATTGCCTTTAGATGTTCTCCGACATTCACTACAAGAGCTCCCGGAGTAGGATGAGCATCCATCCATCAGTTCTCGTTAAAGAACTGAAGAGCACCAATATGGTCTTGCAAAACAATGGTGATGAAGGTATTGTCGGTATGGCTACTCGTGCCTATCGTCAACTCAGGTTGTGAAAATGAAGGATAGTAATGACCGAGAACTGAAAGTCCTTCGGCGCACCCCATCTCTATTAGGTGACTCGGGTTGAGCCCGAGACCCCTCGAACATCAACTCGAGTACCTGAACCCCAAGTTTGTGCACTTCATCTGCATATTTCATCAATATCTCTCTGCAAAAAGAAATCCCATTTACATCACTTTTTGTTAAGTGGAACTTATATCGAGTGATTTGAGTTCAAACTCACTTCGAGCTCAATCGAGTTTGAGAGTACAAAAATCGAGTTTGACACGAATCTTAATGATCTTTTTGAACCCTCGGTAGGTCGAACTCAAACCAGAGACTTTGTTATATCGAACCTAGTTTAGAAAGATAATTTCGAGCCAGGGCCGTCCCTGGGGGAGGGCGGGCCGGGCGTACGCCTAGGGCCCATAAAAATTAAGGGCCCAATTTTTTTAATATATATAATAGTAGTTCAAAAAGATTAGTAAATAGAAGACAAATAAAAAAAATTAGTATCTAATATGACAAAAAAAAACTTTTATACTACATTAACTATTAAAAACCCAAACATGTATGAATTAAATATATTGAAAAAAAAATACATAAATAAGTTAATCTGCTGTTCATTATATAATATTATTTAATGTTTTTCTAAGTTTTTTTTAATTTACTACTTGTTTCGAAAACTTTGATATATTCTCTATAATTTATCTTCCATCGATTCTGATGATTGTTCTATTCTCATGTGAATTCTATTTTTATATTAGAATATGATTGATTTTCTTGTTATTAGCTAAGAAAACCCTCATCTTTTAGAAAAATTACTAACTATATAAGACGGTACAACTTATATTTATATTTAGAATAATGAAACTATTAATTGTTTTTTAATAGTTGTTCTTTATTATCTAATATTGAGTTTATAAATCTTATGTATTTTTCTATCTCTAAAAAAAGAATAAAATCTCAAACTATCACCAACATGAATTTTTTAATTTATATAATCGATGATTCCAGAAAAGTTTGTTTTAACCCTAACTCTATGTTCTTGAGTCTTCATTTACATAAGAAAGAGAGGAAAGTAATGAGAGAAGAAAAATATTATGTTCTCGAGATTTTTTTAGGTAAAAGAAAAAGAAAGGAAAGGAAAAAAGTTATATCAAAATTTATTTTTATTTCATTATTTTTCTTTCCTCTCTCTTCTTTATTAAAAACACAAATAAAAAACTTTATTTTTCTTCTTTCCTTTTAAGCTTTTATTTTTTTTTTCCCTTTTTTCATTCTTTTTTCCTTCCCAAATTCAAAAACATAATATAAAAGTTTAAAGTATTGTTAATGTTCTCAAATTCGAAAACATAATATAAAAGTTTAAAATAGTGTTAATCTTCCCAAATTCGAAAACACAAAATAAAAATTTAAAATGGTGTTAATCTTCCCAAATTTGAAAACATAATATAAAAGTTTAAAATGATGTTAAAAAACATTAATATGAGATGACATGAAAAACCAACCTCTTTACATTGTTTTATATAGTGTCACTCGGAAATCAGACAAATCCACTTTGTGACCCCAAATGATATCATTCTACGTACCAAAAGTATATCATAGGATGTTTTTGATGATGAAACAAATCACTGATACTACATAAAATTGTTTTAATAGATAATATTAATTTAGAAAGGAGTATTGATTGATTTTGCGTCTAGAAATACTCGGAAAAACGATTTTATATGAATTCAATGTTATTTCTGATGATAAAAACAATATATTGAAAAAATATCGTACTTATCGAGGGACCCTTCTTCACATCTCGCCCAGGTCCTAAAAAATGTCAGGAATGGGCTGTTTCAAGCTATTCAAATCGTCAAATAGAGCGATATTAATTGCAATATTTCAATTTCAAGCTCTGAAATTGATCTTCATCAAGCTGAACAAGAAGTATTTTCGAGCTATCAAATCAAAATCGAGTTTAGCATAACAGCATCGTATCAAATCGAGCTCATATAAAATTCAGTATAGATTGAAAACACTTGAAAAACTTGGAGTATAAAAGTAACKAAACCTGCAAATAGGAGGCAATTCATGGTGATTGGGAGGATTAGGAGTCATGTTGCARATGAGAGAGTCTCTCCAGTTGGCTACACGTGAAACATACAAGTCGAAATTGCTGTTGTACACCACCGGATGCTTCCCCTTGCTATTCATGMTGTACCATTGCTTCTTAACCTCTGTATCTTGCTCATKAAACCCTAWAACCCCTTTYATCATCTCCTCCAACACGCTACTCGCAATTCCATKATTCACGATCTGAAAGAACCCCCAACKCTCTGATGCATCTTTCACTTCCTCAACGACCTTCTTTCGTCGGATTGGATCTACGTTGATTCCTTCAAAGTCAATGGTCGGAAGTGTTGTTTCCGGACACAACTGTTGGCCGGATTTTAGGATCTCAGGTGAGGGTAGGTGGAACATTCTAGGAACACTAGTGATTCCGGCATCAACCAGTCCTTTGACACCGGCTTGGGTTTCCTCAAACGCCTGGAGCTCCGCCTTGCGATCATAATCCAGTTGGGTCGCCGGCAGTATGGCGTTGAGAGCCATCTTTTAAGGTATGATTTTGAAACGAGTGTTTGTATATTGCATACAATAGATGATTGGATTGGAACCACAAGTGTGTTTTTTTTCATAATTTGCAAAAAGAAATCATATACTTAAGATATTGTATTAATATATTTAAATAATAAATAATAAAAAATAAATAATTAATGTAAAATAAAACATAATTAAAGTAATAATTAATATTTTCTCAATATAAATAAATCTGTATTTACTTATTTTTATTCATTAATTTTTATAGAAATTAATATAAATGATTTAACTTAAAATGATTGGACTAATAAACTATATAAAAAAAGTTTTGTTATGACAAAAGTATGTTAAAGTTTTTGGCAGTAAAAAAATTAATCAAAATAAAAAGAATTAACATAAAAAAATTGTTAATTTCTATTTCAAAATAATGTTTAATAAAATTAAAATTGCAAAAAACCTTAATTATATTTAAAAAAAAAACCTTAAAAACAATTGAAAATGGGTGGGTCAAGCATCTTTTGCCGTGTGAACATTATCACACCAAATTTGGTGATATACCATTCGGTTGGACTTTATCATCGACATTTTTGATGATTTAACCATTCGATTGGAGTTCATTGTATGGAAGTGTCACCAATAAAGCTCCATGTAAAAGTTGTTATTGGGGATGTAGGTGATTTTAGTGTTACAGGTTTAATTTGGTGTAATGGATAAATATACGAAAGTTAAAGGAGATATTTACTTAGTTTGTTATGCAAGTTAGGAGGTGTGGAGCGCACACTTTTATAAGACTAGATAGATTTCGGTACGACCAAAAGACGGGGTCAAGGAGGCCGCACCCCCTTGCAGGGTCCCAAGGCAGCCCCCTTGGCGGGGGTCTGCTGCCCAGAAGAAGTGTTATGGAAAAACTGTCTTTGGTCTTATCATTATCCATTTATGGATGACTCTGAGTATAAATACTCATTTAAATTCGTTTCTTTTGGCTTGAATCGAAGAATTCGAATATTCAAAACCAACAGTAACGTGATCTTTTTTCTATGCCTAAGAATTTAAATTGTTCCTTCTTGGATTATCTCATACTCAGAATTCCGTGCAACACAAGGCTATAGGGTCGAAATATTTGATTCGGAAAAGCAATATACACGATCCAAGCAAGAATCCAGGCAATGGTGATTTCAGAAACCCACCCTATTGTTTATCTACCAGAACAATCGAATCAGATAATTTCTTGCTTTTCTGTAATCATGAGCGAATTTGTGAAGGATATGACGAGCAAGTTTAGTAAGTTGGAGAAATTTCAAGGAAACGACTTCAGAAGATGGCAGAAGAAGATGCATTTTTTGCTTACGACTTTAAGAATTGTTTATGTGCTGAGTACCCCAATGCCCGAAGTGATGGAGGACGAGACATTGGATCATATGAGGAGTAGAAACAAGTGGGAGAATGATGACTACATCTGTAGGGGTCATATTTTGAACGATATGTCAGATGCTTTATTCGATATCTACCAGAATGTTGAAAGAGTTAGGGAGTTATGGAATTCACTTGAGTCGAAGTATGTCGCGGAAGATGCTTCTAGTAAGAAGTTATTAGTAAGCGATTTCAATAATTACAAGATGGTGGATTTGAGGCCTGTTATGGAGCAGTGCAATGAACCCTTACATATTCTTGGTCAATTTACACTTCACAAGATAAATATGGACGGATCCATTGCAGTGTCGAGTGTAATTGACAAACTTCCCCCTTCGTGGAAGGACTTCAAGCATACGTTGAAACATCAAAAGGAGGAGATAACCCTGGTTCAGTTGGGAAGTCAATTGTACATCGAAGAATCCCTTCGTGTGCACGAAAGTGACAAGAACAAGGGAAAATTTGAAGTTGGACAACTCGATGTCCATGTTGTGGAAGAGAAGAAATCTGGACAAAACAACAAAGAAAAAGGCAAAAAAACGAAAGCATGAAGGCTATGACAAAGCCAACAAGAAACCGAAAGAGTTGGTGTGTTGGAGATGTCAAAAAATTGGCCTTATGAAGCGTGATTGTCGTGTGAAGCTCAACAAAAACGGTGCAGGAACTAGTGGTAGTGGTAGTGGTGGTGGTGGGTCTAAGGACCAAGGACACCCAAAGGTCAGTTTGTAATTGTTCTTGATAATTCTGTCCAGAATTGTGTTTCACTAATTCCAAAAAATTTGTAATGTACAAGAGGATGAAAACTTTTGGTGGGTTGATTAGGCGACAACTACTCATGTTAGCAAGGACAAATCTTGGTTCGAGAAGCTTGAACCGGTTGATGACGGGTCCTATTTGCGTATGGGAGATGAGTCGGTGAAGCTGATTGTTGGGCGTGGTGTTGTTAATTTAGAATTTACTTCTGGAAAAACAATTTCGTTATTTGATGTTTTGTATGTCCCGAAGGTTCGGAGTAACCTTATTCCGGGTAGTATGTTGAACTTTCTAGGCTATAAACAAGTTATTGAATTGTATAGGTATATTATATTCAAGAATGGTAGTTTTATCGTATTTGGTTATTTATGCCATCGTTTATTTCATTTAAATGCTGTAGATAAAATAACATCTTGTGATGATAATTTCTTTTTTATGACCTCAACTCGCAAATTAGATGATTCTATGCGTTGGCATGCTAGATTAGGTCATGTGAACTTTAGAAAAATGCATGAATTTCTAAAAATGGATTAATTCCAGTTTTTAACATTAGTGCTGAAAAATGTAAGACTTGTATGTTTACGAAAATTACAAAACAACCTTTTCCGAATGTGTATAGAAATTCGGGTGTTTTGGATTTGAATCATAGTGACCTATGCAATTTCCACTCTACTCTTTCATTAGAAAATAAAAAGTATGTTGTTACTTTTATTGATGATTCAAGTCGGTTTTGCTATGTGTGTTTATTGCATTCCAAAGTTGAAGCTTTGGAAAAGTTTAAAATATACAAAACCGAAGAGGAATTGCAATTAAGCAATTCAATTAAATTTCTTAGAATGGATCGAGGAGGGGAATATATGGATCCCTAATACTTTCAATCTGTTGGAAATATCCATGAGATGATGGCTCCTTACACACCACAACAAAATGGTGTAGCCGAACTGAAAAATCAAGTTTTAAAAGAAATGGTTAACTTGATGCTTTCTTACTCGAGTTTGAGTGAGGGATTTTGGTGAGAGGCCATGTTAACGGCTTGTTATGTATTAAATAGAGTTCCAAATAAAAGGAACAAAACAGCCCCGTATGAGCTTTGGTTCAAAAAAGCTCTGAATTTGAGTTATTTTCGAGTTTGGGATGTCGGGCTATTGTAAAACTACCCGAACCCAAGAGGAAAGCTTTGGGGGAAAGAGGAATAGATTGCATATTTATTGGTTATGCAGAAAATTTCAAAGCCTACAGGTTTTATGTAATAGAACCTAACGATTCGGTGTCGATAAACACCGTAATCGAGTCGTGCGATGCTATTTTTGATAAGCTATTTTTTTCTTTGATTCAAAAACCAAAGATCTGCTTCCTAGCAGCAGTGAGGTGGAAAATCCAAAAGCTCTAAATGGTGTTTTAGCCCTAGAAACACAGTAGCCCCAAAAAAGCAAAAGAGGTCGAATTACAAAACCTTTTGGTACCCGACTTTCAATTGTACTTGGTTGAGGGTTCGAGGGACGAAGTAGGGCTGCAATATTCTTATTGTTATCATGTTGAGGATGATCCTAAAATCTTCAAAGAGGCCATGGAGTCGCGGGGTGTTTCCTTTTGGAAAGAGGCCAGTGATGATGTGTAATAACCAAAAAAAAGGAAAGGAATTGTTAGTCGTTAAATTTCAAGGACTTATAGTGTAAAGCGATCAAAGTGAACGGTTTAGACCCTAAAATTGAATGCAATTTAATGATAGAAAACTCAATGGTCATGAAACTTACGACAATTTATTATGGCATATCATTTCATATTCTGTGAAACCGCCGATGGGGCTTAGTATAAAATGGGAGTTTGTAGCTTTATGTGTAGTTTGAGGGTTAAGAAAGAGAACTATTATGAGAAAAGACGACGATGGACGCTGTAATGAGAGTTGACAGTGCTCTACATCGTATCTAGTTTGACACCAATCGGGGAGACGCTAGCCACTTCAAAGATCGGTTTGGGCTATGCCATATATGGTGAGTTACACGTGATTTATTTTTAAAATGGTTGCATGCCTTATTTATAATTATCCACAAGCTTGATTGAAGTTTCTCGAGATTTTTGACATGGTACATATGCGTGAAAAGTTCGATATTTTTATAATGTGTTCTGAGTATTTTTGTGTTAATGGGGATGTACTACGATATGATTTTGTAAAGACGAGCATGCTTTGTGAGCTTGTCTAAGCCGTAAGTGCGGACATGCTGTGTGAGTTCGCCTAGTAATGCTGTGTGAGGTAGACATCTCCCATGACACCGTTGCTTTGTGACGTAGACACGCACTATAATATCTTTATTTTGTGAAAAGTATTATTCTCATCAAAGAATGCTAAATTTATAAAACTTCATGAAAATTGTTTATCGTAAAAGTTGTTCTTCGTGCATGAAAACCGTGGATTCACTAAGCCTAAGGCTCACCCAAAACTCCTTTAAAACTTTTTCACCCAAACGACTATTAGACTGGAAAGAAAAGTTGGATAAAGAGAGATATAAGGATTAACATCAAAGAAGGACATGTGCAAATCAATACATTGTTATGTAGAACAAAGTTATGTTCCTCAAGATTGTAATTTTAGATGATGATATAAATTGTAAGACTAGAAATTTTATTCCGCTGCAATATAAGTGTTTGATCTTGGGATACTGGTTTTGTTATATTTTAAGTATTCGAAATTTTGGGATGTTACAAGTGGTATCAAAGCAAAGTTTAAGTGAATTAGGTTACTAAAACCTAAACTTAAACTGAGGATGGAAGATTTTATTATTGATAAATGTGTAACTAAAAATTGATTTATAGTGATGAGAGTGGTGATTTAAATTAATTTGGGGCTAGTCTTAAACCAGATTAAAGCAGAGAAGTCGTTAGATGGTTTAATATCCTTGGATATAATGACATTGATAGAGAAGTGTTTATGCAAAACACATGGTAAGATGAGATAAAATAGATGTAGAGTGGTGTTGATGGATAAAGTTTTGGTGACAAACTCCCACTGATTTATTTTAGTGGGGAGAGAATATGTTTAGCTTTGAGAATAATATGAACTCAAAGTATTGATGATATAGTGAGTTGATTCATCATTTATTTGCATAAGGCAAATTTCGAGCACGAAATTTTGTTAAGGTGGAAAGTTTGTAATAACCAAAAAAAAAGGAAAGGAATTGTTAGTCGTTAAATTTCAAGGACATGTAGTGTAAAGCGATCAAAGTGAAGGGTTTAGACCCTAAAATTGAATGCAATTTAATGACAGGAAACTCAATGGTCATGAAACCTACGACCATTTRTTATGGCTTATCGTTTCATATTCCGTGAAACCGCCGATGGGGCTTAGTATAAAATGGGAGTTTATAGCTTTATGTGTAGTTTGAGGGTTAAGAAAGAGAACTATTGTGAGAAAAGGCGACGGTGGACGCTGTAATGAGAGTTGACGGTGCTCTACATCGTAGCTAGTTTGGCACCAATCGGGGAGACGCTAGCCACTTCAAAGATCGGTTTGGGCTACGCTATATATGGTGAGTTACACGTGATTTATTTTTAAAATGGTTGCATGCCTTATTTATAATTATCCACAAGCTTGATTGAAGTTTCTCGAGATTTTTGATATGTTATATATGCGTGAAAAGTAATATGTGTTCTGAGTATTTTTTGTGTTAATGGGGATGTACTACGATATGAGGTAGACATCTCCCATGACGCCGTTGCTTTGTGACGTAGACACGCACTATAATATCTTTATTTTGTGAAAAGTATTATTCTCATCAAGGAATGCTAAATTTATAAAGCTTCGTGAAAATTGTTTATTGTAAAAGTTGTTCTTCGTGCATGAAAACCGTGGATTCACTAGGCCTAAGGCTCACCCAAAACTCTTTTAAAACTTTTTCACCTAGGAGGCTATTAGACTGAAAAGAAAAGTTGGATAAAGAGAGATATAAGGATTAGCATCAAAGAAGGACATGTGCAGATCAAGGCATTGTTATGTAGAACAAAGTTATGTTCCTCAAGTTTGTAATTTTAGATGATGATATAAATTGTAAGATTAGAAATTTTATTCCGCTGCAATATAAGTGTTTGATCTTGGGATACTAGTTTTGTTATATTTAAGTATTAGAAATTTTGGGATGTTACATGATGAAATGTCGTCGATTTTAGAGAACAATACTTGGGTATTGTCGGATTTGCCACCAGGCTCAAAACCTTTAGGTTGCAAATGGATATTTAAGAAGAAGATGAAGGTAGAATGGACTATTGAAAAGTTCAAATCTTGGCTGGTGATACAAGGGTTTAGGCAAAAACCTGGTATCGACTATTTCGATACGTATGCACCGGTAGCTCGTATATCTACCATTAGGTTGTTGATTGCCTTGGCGACTATCCAAAATTTGATTGTCCATAAAATGGATGTCAAAACATCCTTCTTAAATGGTGATCTTGATGAGGAACTTTACGTGAAACAACCGGAAGGTTTTTATCATGCCCGATAATGAGCTTAAAGTATGTAAACTTGTGAAATCATTGTATGGGCTAAAGCAAGCCCTTAAACAATGGCATCAAAAGTTTGATGAGGTAATTTTTCAAGTGGTTTTACTCTAAACCAATCCGACGAATTTGTATATAGCCCGTTTAACTCTACCGGTGTCGGTGTGATCATTTGTCTTTATGTAGACGACATGTTGATTTGTTGTCACCAAGGTTTTTCATGAAGGACATGGGGGAGGCTGATGTGATCCTTGGTATAAGTATTAAGCGGGTGAATAAATGGATTGCGGTGACACAATCACATTATATT